TTGCCTTTTAGAACTTGATAGAACCGCCTGTAATTTTAACCACACAACAAAATATTAACTCTGATATAAAAAAGCTCGATTTCAACACGGACAGGTTGTAGTGAAGAGTACGTGAAACCAAGCACTTTCCCGTAGTAGAAAGCAAGGCTACGGCAGGAAAGCCGTAGTAGTACGCGCGTCATGACGTCACCGGAAGCGATCTTCACCATCTGCCGCCGTACTACAGCCGTACCACAGCCTAGCCGTACCATATCGTAAAGTCCCTAGCGTTCTGTTCGCTTCTATATTTGCGATTTAAACCTCGAAGTCAACAAAAGTGCGAGTTCTCGCTTTCCACTTTGGTGCAGTCTACCGGAAAGTTTAGTTCCGTTCGCCCCAGAAAATTTCCGGATTTCAGGGACTGGTAGTTCCAGGTTTTCTGCCTGATTGCTCGGTCGCGTGACATTTCGTCAAGGACACACTTTTATTGTCACGCAATGTTTCGAACTTCAGTATTCGCCATGTTGGATTTACATGTTGAGTTATGACACTTACTTGACGTGAAGGCCTCCTTTCACTAAGGACAGCTCCCTACAGCCAACATGTCAAAAATTGAGTATAATGATCTTCTTTATGAGATTAGCAAGAAACTTGACGAAAACGAACTGCCAAGACTGATTTTCATGTGCAGAGAAGAGATAGCGGAAAGCAGCGAGGAGAACGTTCGAGATGTGCTCGCGTTATTTAAAGAACTAGAAAAACGGAATCGCCTTGGAATTGATCGGCTGGACACTTTAAAAGAAATATTGAAACAGATGAAGAAGAGGTCGTTGCTTAAGAAAGTGGAGGAGTTCGAGAGAAGAAGAAAAGGTATTCAAATTATGTGTTTATTACAATCACAGAACGTAAGGTTACGTTCATGTAAATTATCTTAACTAGTGATGCCGGAAGTGAGTCTTAAATATCACTTTAAGCCTCTTTTCGAATGTCCTTTAGTAACGGCGCTAAAAGATTAGAACTTGCGGGCTGTTCCAGAGGAGCTTTTATGCTAACCCTTTACAGGATATGTGACATTTAATTAGACCAAAGGGATTATTAATCATTATTGCCGTTTATTTCAGCCCAGTCAGTTGGTATAATTTCTTCGTTGAAGCGCATGGCAACATGTATAAAAGGAGGTGAGTCAAAAAGAAAATGGACGACATTGATAACAATGTTTAGTTAAAATCACTAGCGATATTTTAGATTTGAAGGGTACAATCGCAACACAATGTTGATCCAACTGCAGACCACAGAATGCAGAATTATCAACTTTATATCGTATTCTAAAGAATACGCATTTCCATTACCGTGAACTAACAGTAAACAGGCTAACCTGAGCACTATTCAGGCTAACCTGACTGATATTCCGGCAGGCTAACAAGAGTGCTATTTTTGCCCAAATGTAGTCTTTAGACCTCTGTAGTCTGCAGTCTGCAGTCTGCAAATGTCAAACACCAAGCTGGAAGAATTGATTCCGCATAAAGCTGGAGTGCTGAACAAGTGTATTTTCTTCTGAGTTAGATAGATGAAGTAATTAAGGGGATGTTCTTTTGATCTGTAGACTGCAGCTTCCAGATTTCATCATATATAGACAACCAAGAGTGAGTGAGTGAGTGAGTGAGTGAGAGATGTATGTATGTCACACCAATCAGATTGGATCTACTATATATGAACAGCCAATCAAATTTCTTGTTGTAAAGGTAAATGGTATGTGAGGAGATTTGATCCGAATACAGTTTAGAATTCCAGTTTGTAGGGGAGTGTGACAGTTACATACCAGTATTTTGGGTTGTTTTAGGGTGCACTATTTTTAGTCTAATGGTGGCTAGTTATGAACGAGATGAGTCTTGAGTTTTGAAGCAGTTCATGATTTAGTAGTATGCAAATGCACAAGATATTTCTATTTTTAGTTACAAAGGGTAACTTGATACTTTTGTTTTTTCACAAGGAGTAAATTTAAACGTTGCTTCTAGTTCTAAGGACATGTTTTAGAGGAAACGAGACTATTTAAATTTGAAACAATTCTAACGTTTATATTAGTAAGTTCAGTAAACAATTGTTTTGTTCTTGTTGCATGCACATATAACGAAATTTTTCTATCTTTTAGCTACAAAGGGTAATTTGACACTCTTGTTTTCCACAAGGGAGTAAATTCAATTAGAGCCAACAAATTGTCACCGCTTGTTCCCACAAGATGTTTGAACAAACAAAACAAGATATTGCTATTTTTAGTTCCAAATGGTAACTCAACACTTTTGCTTTTCACATGGGAGTAAATTTAATTAAAGCTGGCAACTTATTGCCTCTTGTTCTTAGGATATTAAAGAAAAAAGATGCTAACCTCTTTGGACGGTTTTTATGTGTCTGCAACAGCAGTTTAATGTTTTTATGACATTCATTTTAGTCTGAGATCTTTTTTTTTAGGTATAAGAGTATGAAAACTGTTCAAATGTTTTTTTGAAGACTGCATGGTGCCAAGTTAAACTACAAATTAATTAAATCAGTCAGAGAGGTTCTTTCTCTTTCTTGCCATTTTTTGTGGCGTAGTGTTGTTGTGTTTTGTAAGAGGTAAACTCCTTTAAAATAAGGAAAGTTCTCTTTACTTGAGTATTTTTAAGCAAAAATTCCTCTTAGGGGTTGGAAGAGCTATGTGGTCAGTCATGCCTGTGCGTGCATCACACCAATCACAGTGTGGGTTGTATCAAACAGAGAATCAAATTGCCAGAAAATAGGATGGTATCTACATTAATCTGGAGATGTATCAGGTTACTGCAGTTTGTTCAGTCAAACATTTTACATGTCATCGATTTAGGTTTATGGAGGGAGAATTACATATGAAAAGTATTTTGTGTGACTCTCAGCTGCTTACAACGCACACGCTGTCAGCAAAATGCCCAACACAAAATTGTGATGCAAGCATTCATTTTGGACGGGCTAGTTTTGCTGACCAAAGTGAAAATTATAGAAAGTGCACATCAATTGTTATCATAAAGTTATATCAATCTGTGGTTATTACAAAGAGTTGCAGAAATGGTAAGAAATCTTGTCATGGCCTACTTTGTCTCGAAGTTGGTTGGGAATATTTCATGTGGTAGGTGTGGTGTCATACAAGATTTTTGCCATGGTAGTGGCATGTAAGAAAGAGGATCGCA